AACATTCACAGAATATTCCTTAAATGTGCCGGGAACGTTCTAGGAACATTCTAGGAATATGCAAACGGGAAAAGTTCGGAACATTGGTATGTTCTTAGAATGTTCCAAGAATATTTGATCAGTAATGTTCAGAGAATGTCTGAAAATTTTTGTACGGAATCGTTTGGCTTCAGCATCTTGGAGGCACCAATGTGATTAAATTAGTGTCTCCAAGATGCCGAAGCAAAAAGATTCCATATAAAAATTCCCAGACATTTTATTTTTTAATGTGAACCATGAAACACTTTTACCTTTTTCTTTAAAAAAAATCCTATATTCCTTGTAGCATTGAAACAAATTTTTCAAGATGTTTCAAGAAATCTGATTGGATCGTTGTTAGAAAAAAGTAGTGTTAGTAAAGCAGACTCCCATAAAAAATCAAACGTGAGTGGAAGTACATAAGCTGATAGTTGAAACTTACAGTGGATGATGCAGAAAAAACTTTGAAATAATAAAGCATAAAATCTGAGCAAAAACTGAAGTTACACTTTATTTAAAAATAAGAAAAATAAGTACAAAGAGGATGTTGCGTGAGAAATTCACGATTATTTTGTGTTTGAAATGTATAACCTATTCTTAGATAAAAATCGATGGTTCTGCTATGGAAGAATTGAAGGGGAATTGAGCGGTTGTAACTAAAAGTGGAGTTATTTAAAGCAAATTGATTCTGAGGAATTTTCACTGAAACATAACCATGGACATCATAAACAATTTCAAAATTTACTCCTGAAACCATGAAATACCATTCCTGCATATTGTAGCATTGAGATGGTAAAGCGTGTTCTGTGTATAAGTATAAAGAAACAAATTATTGAAAGTTTCCACTGTGTTCATCATTATTTTAAGGCAAAAACATGAAAAAATTAGTGCTTAAGATCAATGCAGCTCTTGCTCCCAAAAGCCCCATTAATGGACTGACATTGAACCAAAAAAGTATGAAGCATCTTAAGTAAAAAATATGTAAGAAAGAACAAAAATTGCGATTGAAATGGATCTCTGGAAGGACTTACTTTCCTTCCAAAACATAAGAAAAGAAAAATACAAATTATAATAGTAATAATAATAATAAAAATTTAAATGCAAAACATAACACTGGTGAACAAATATGGCACCCTTGCACTTCAATTTAAGAAAAAACAGGAAGTTGGCCGTTAAAGCAAGCATATATGTATCATATTTGACTACAATCAACCATGTTGTCGACACATCCCATTATGTCTGGTGGGAGCACGACTTGTGCTTTCATATAATGAAAGAATTGAAAATTACTGAACAAAACCATAAGAACACAAAAATAATACTGATCCATAATCTTAGGATCCTGAAAAATAAGGAAAAAAGAATAAAAAATTTGGTTGACCCTTCAACATTATTGTAAAGACTTGATTCTCAAAATAAAGGAACGATTAATAAGTAATAGGAAGAAATATTAAACCACTAAAGTACCAAAAAAGGTAACATTGAAATGCATAAACTATCTTTTGCACCTTAATTGCACCAAAAATTAAAAGAGGAAAGAACAAAAACAAACTTAAAAATTCAATAATGTGATGAGGAAACAAAAAGTCATTCGGAGAAGTAAGTTTCATCATCGCAAGTTTCATCATCGCTTCCTATGCGTTGACCTTCGTTATCATACTTATCGCAGAAGTTTTTCCATAGATCATCCAGAACTTCATTTTCCCTCTCCGCATAATCTCTTTCATTTTGGTTCCCAGTGCTCTCGTTATGTCTGTCAAATTCCTCCTGATTTTCATGTCTGTCAAAATTGGCTTGATTCCCAACTTGGTTCTCATTTGCATGCCTGTCGAATTCGCCATGACTTCCATCCTGGTCCTCATTTTCATGCCTGTCGAATTCGCCTTGACTTCCATCCTGGTCCTCATTTTCATGCCCGTCGAATTCGCCTTGACTTCCATCCTGGTCCTCATTTTCATGCCCGTCGAATTCGCCTTGACTTCCATCCTGGTCCTCAATTTCATCATCGCTAGAAAAATAATAAGGACCATGCATCATTTAATTGTGCAAAAGTGCTCTTGGCCACAGATTAAGCTTCGAAGTTCTAATGGATCTTTTGCACGATGAACACAGAGTGATCATAACCACCTAATCTTATGAAACTTTGCCTAATTTTAATGATTATCACTCAAAGCTGAACTCAAAAACGAACTCCTAAACCCTTAATATGCCTTTTAAAAGTCGAATTTTATATCAAACTTGACTAATCGGAGCAACTTTGTACAGATATCGAGCTGGATGGTGAAGTATGTTGTCAAGGATGTTCAAAAGAAGAGAGACTGAAACCCACATAATTTACGAAATTTTAAATTACGAGTTTCAGAAGAAAAGGAAAATTGGATTTCATTTTGAAAAAAGGAACCAAGAGCATTCCAATGTTGCTAAGATGGTGCAACTTTCATTTTTCACAATAAAATTGCTGAAATCATGCAAAAATTTAAATTTACAAAGGTAATTTTCGTCTGGAATTTATGGTTAATCAGGAGAAAAGATGAAACTTATTTAGAGGATCAGTTTATAGTTGCAAAGAGAAAACAGTTGCACAATCTTAGCAATGTTGAAATGCTATTGGTTCCTTTTTGCAAAATGCGGTCTAATAATAAGTAAAAAAATTTTTTTACATAAAGCACCTGACACAGAGGTCTTAAAGTATAAAGTCTCACCTCTCTTCGCTCAATCGATGTTTCGCCTTCACCAGCCATACTTTCAGTGGAGTCATTATTGCTTCGTCAGGCAAATCATGAGTGACTCTGACTGCATCTGGAAATTTCAAAAAGAAACAAGATTATTATAATCCTCTTTTGACTATAGAAATGCAGAGAAAGGAGAGGTGGGAGAAAGGTAGGAAGAGAGGAAGAAAAGTGGGATATTAAAAAATACAAACTTCAATTCCAGATCAGAAGCTAAACGTACTGAAGTAAATGAATAACATTAAATTAGGAAACCAGTTACCACATATCTTACCATAATGACAGCTTTGAGGCAAGTTTTGAATTACTCCATTTAGGACAGGCAAGGGTAGGGGGCTATTTGAGGCTCCGCCTCTCTTTTGACAAATGGACGTGTATTGTTTCAGAACAAGATTGACATCAGGGTGCCTTCTGGTTGTTTCATCTAAAAAAATACCTACTTACTTTTTCCTTCCCTAATGGAAAAAATTACTTTCTCATCTGGGCGAGGAAATCAGGAAAGCCTACATTTCGGAACAAAAGTCCTTCTTATCTCTTTGTCAAAAAACATGCTCTACACACTTTAACTCTTTTTTTAAGCCTCAAATATTATTTATATGCAACAAGTCTCTTTTGGTCATAATAATAATAAAAAAATGTCTTCTTTTTGACGAAGTATTTGCACTTTTTTCGTACTTTTTGACAAGTATGCCCACTATTTCTGCACTTTTCGTGCTCTGTTCACACCCTGTGATTTGGAGCTTCAATTTGGCACAAGCAAAGACATGAAATTTGTCGCGCAACAATAATGCTGTTGAAGGGGTCGTTGAAAGTTGCTCTTGATCCACTTCTGCTGAAGAATGTTACGAGAAAAAACTGTTGAAGTCAGAAAATCATAAAATCCACTCAGAAGTGAGGAAAATGCATTTAAAGTTACATCTGAGCATTCCACGGTTTCGTAAACCTCATCAGACTTATAGTACAATTATGCAGGTGTCAAGGTTCTCTCTGCGAGTTTGAGGTTATGATCATCGCAGAACCTTGCGCCTGATATTGTTTCAATTGGGCACCTGACATCACAAGAAACATTAAAGAAACTTACTGGAACCAAGGAAAATAATTAATTACCTTGAAAAGCAGTAATAAACATCCCATACTTGTTTAGGGGTAACTTGCCTCCTTTTTGCCCTGTCATGGAGAATTGAGATGCTAGACGATCAGTTATCATCTCTTTGACCATTTTCCTCACGGAATCCCCAACGGTTTTGACATTTTTCCTGCTGAAGTACGATACCTAAGGCAAAAAGAATAGAAGAAAAATAACACAAAAGTTGATGTATAAAATTTGTCTGGTCTTTTGTGTGTGTGTGTGTGTTTTTTTTGTCTATACATTTGAGGTTTCCTGTGTCCAAAATTCGTGGATTCCTAAAATATGATTTAAATATAATTTGGGTTCACAAGCAATTTAAGAAACATGAAGAATATTAGGAGACAAAGTTTTTTTTCTTCCCTCAAAAATCACGAAAGCTGATCACCAAAATATTAAAGAAACTAACGAGTTTTCTCAAGTTATTTTCTTGATTTTGATTAGTTCTTTCATAATAATTAAACTAAACTAAAATCTAAAAAACTTACCAAGTTTTTGCGGAAATTGGGGTCCGAGAGATCATCTTCCAAAAGTTCCAAATCCTCGACTGATTTCAAAGGAAACCGTTGTTTTATTTCATCTGTTTGTGCACATACTTTTGCGATTGCCATATTGGCCATCTGAACTTCCAGATTCTTTAAAATTTCGGCGTTTCCATCGACAGCCAATTTAACAGCAGTTGCTTTTTTGCTACACCTTTGAGAAAATTCATTGCCCAGATCGACTTTTTGTAGAACCAGATCAAGTTTACCTACAGCATGACACACATAATATTAATTGTAAACTTAATTCAGGAAAGTTGAGTACATAGATCTAGTTCAAATATACTGTTTTCTCTTGAACTGTTATCTATTGTCCCTACATTACATGCAACAGAATAGGAACATCACATACCTTCTACACGAAGCAACATTATTGTAACATCAGTGTGCTGGTTAGGAACAGTATTAGTCCGAGATGTATTTCTGTTGATGTTTCCTGCCGCAGGTTGACGATTTAGATTATTTCTGATATCTGGGAGAATCTGAGAAACATTCTTTATCCCAGGTACATTTCTGTTAATGTTTGCTGCTGCTGGTCGTTGATTCGGAGGATTTCTATTCTGAGGAATACTGTTTATCCGAGATCGATTTCCAACTGTGACGTTTCCTGTTGTGGGCCGTTGGTTAATAAGATTTCGATTCTGAGAAACAATTTTTCCTACCGTGGGCCGTTGGTTCACAGAATTTCCATTTTGAGGAACATTTTTTGGCCGAGATTGATTGCCATCGATTTTTGCCACTGCAGGCCTTTGATTTGAGGGCTTTTGATTCTGAGGAGCAGTGTTCTTCGAAGAATGACTTTCTTTGGTGCTTCTGACCGGCAAAGGCCTTGGATTAAGTCGATTTTGAGGCACACTGTTTTTCAGAGGACCAGTTTCTTTGTTTTTTTCTGCTTGATCAGTAAGATTTAGGGTTGGGTAAATGTTGCTGATGTCCATCAGAGGTGACAAAAATGGTTTTTGGGTTGATGTGGCATATGTTGGGTTTCCAGCTTTGGAATTACTTTGTTTAATACTTGAGCTTAAAGTTGGCGATGGAATTCTAAAAGATTTACAATGGGGGATTTTAAAATCCTGTAAACTTGATGTACATAGGTTTTGCGCGTTACTGCGCACTTCCCTTGACTTTTTTCTTCCTCCGCCTATTTTTAATTTAGCTTTTTTGACCTGTGGATTATCTTCTTCCGATGAAGAGATAATTCGTTTCCGTTTGGGGCTCCGCCAACCACGGCCGAGTTGCTCGGGGTCTGTAGTAACTCCATCTTCGTCCTCTTGTATTATTTTTAGTAAGCGGACTGCCTCTGAGTATGACTCTGCAATCAGGAAAAGAAATTCTTGTAGCATATATTTTGAAAAATGCTCAGGACAAAAAAGACGGAAGCTTTCGAGTGACCACATATTTTGAAAATGTGACCAGCAGAAAGAAAAAAAGCAGAAGGTACGGTGATTTAATTTTTTCCTTACCTTAAAAAAGTTTGCACGATTGAATATCTTTAATGTTATCAAATAAATTTGGCAACCACTGATGTTTCATCAAGAGTGGCGGTAGCCACCCCCGATCGAGGAAAATGACGTCCTACTGAAGTCCCGATAGCAAAGGGTGGCAGACACTCTTTGTCACACATAACTCCCTTAATCTGAAATTTGATTCGGTTTCCATTCAACTGCAGCTCAAACAAAGGCACGGATTCCAACGATCTTGGTGTCTATAGGTACCTACATCTAAATGAGGACCACAAAGTGGAAGCGTTTCATTGAGATCCATTGAGTTTTCAAAAAGTTATAAGCGCTAACAATATGAAATATGTTATCGCACAAAGTCCAATGTTTTTCGATTCAAGTCCTACATATGCTTTAAAACAGTATGAATAAAACACTCAATTGGGTGGCTGAAGTCCAGTATTTTTCTTAAGAATAGGCTCCTGCAAAAAAGAGAGAAATGCACCTTTGAGGAAATGAAAGTAATTCTTACCGATACCAGTTCGCTTGGCAACTATCACATATTCTTGCCACGATGGATGAGGTTCCTCCTGCTGGAGCAGCAGATTTTGGAGTTTCTTCCTATCCCCTTTTACAGGGGGGAATTTGCACAATTCCTCAAAGTCATCATTGAGCCCACAAAGCCAAGACTCCCGAACGATATCAACAGTGTTGTCACATGGAAAAATGACGACACAAAATGTTGCCATGTTATGAATCTGTCGAAAAGAAATTTATAGAATTAGTGAAGGTCCATGATTAAAGTACAGATTATTTAATGATGAGCAAATGCACAGAAGAAAAATCAGACTATAACTCAGAGAAAAACTAAGGTTTGGTTATTATGACTTGTATTTCCTGATATTATCTCCAAAATTTTCAGTTTTCAACAACAGCATATAATCACCAAAACATGTTCCGAAATAACTAGCTTCCAACTGATTCTATGTTGAAAGAAGGAAACTAAGATAAGTTCAAGTCTTTGAGGAATTATGAGAAAAGTTACTCAATGAAGCAAAGATCTAAGAGTAAATAAGAACACTCAGTTCAGCAAGGAAACTTAATGAAAATTTAACTCAAGTGCCATCATTTGAAATTGAATAATGCAAGGTTCTGGACCAAATTTCATTAATTAACGAATTCCCAATTCTTTCCTGACCTTTGCATGCAAATGTTGTGAAAACTGACTCGTGATCGATAGTGAAATCTTGTCGTTTTTGTCTATTGAAGCATAAAAACATGTTCATCAAAGACAAAACCAAAAATAAGCGCAAACTAAAAAAGATTATTATTACTCACTTGTATACTTGCAAAGTGTGCTTGCCAAAATATTAATAGTTTCCTTCAAAATCATTAGGAATTAGAGGAAAAGTAGGGGACAGGATTGGTCATTGAAAGGGTTAGAGACAGTGAGAGTTTGGAATTTTCAAATGTATCTTTAATATACTTTACTAAATTACTGAAACAGCTTTGCAACAAAAAACCAGGGTTGATCTTTCATTCCCCTTTTCCTGAGGCTCTAATGATCAAAAAACAAACAAATCGTGAACTAAATGAGAGGAAGAATTGATAAGTACCGTATAATACGAAAATTTAAAAATGCTTAACGCGACCTACAGAGAAATTTCTTAAAATCTAACTTGGCACAAACGCTCATTAAAGTCAGAAGTAGTTGATGAAGCCTTTCTTGGAGTTCAGCATGTGATATCAATTTCCTGGGCCCATAAAGTGTGAATGAATGAGAAATTGATCGTGGAGGGAGAGCTTGTGGTATGAAATTATAATAGAGTGTGTAAAATTGGCTGGGCCACAAATTTTGATCGGAATGGCAACAACATGTTCTTGTACTGAACGTCACAAACAGGTACAACAATCATTTCTGATAAGTTTGATACAATGTAAATCTTCAGATCCGAACTCGGGCAAGGAGTGTTAAAAGCATTTTCTTTTTGTAAAAACTTCCGTCCGACAAGAAGAATGTCATTTGATTCAGAAGCAGTGCAAATATTCCGCAAGACAAATATGCTGCCATCCAAAGTCGTGAAACAACTATCCCTAGCAAAGACAGAAAGTTTAAAGGTTGGAAAATGCACTGTTTGATAAGTGGGACGAGCACATCCTTCTAAAAATGGCCCACGACAACGGTACGGCATTGAGCACCGTGGGAAATCGGGTTTCTTTGAAGGCAGTAAAGGTGGACAAGCATCTGCTTCTTCGATGCGTTTCACACACTGTTGCAATGGTTTATCGCCTTTGACAACAGTCTGCTTCAAATATTGTAGGAATGATTCAAAATCAAAGGTACTACAATCTTCCATATTGTCAAATGAATCAAGATTCCTCGGCAAGTGTACCAAGTTGTGGAAATTGTGCGTTAAGAGATTGTCTGCATAAGCTGTTTTGCAATTTTCTACAAATTCAACAAGCATTTCAGTTGCAATTTCTTTGTACTCTCTACACCGAACGGGGTTCAATAATAATCTGAGGCTAACATATAACAAAACAAAATTACCAAGGCGCTGTTCACTGAGGATACCATCTAACACATAGGGGCCTAAGTAACAGCCAAACAGACGAAGCTCAGTGGCTTTCCATCTCTTGACGTCCTCCATGGCTCTAGACCTACGAGCGAATTCGGAAGGAATGAATTTCTCATACAGTAACATTTTCCCTGAGGCCTGACAAATTCGTTCAGCAGGAAGTTTGGCATTGTTTTTAGACGCGAATACCCATAACTTAACAAGCGTCTTCACTACACCAACGCAGACTAGATGAAGGTAATCAAGAGGAAAATCATTAATAAAGTCTATACCAGGTATTCTAAGCAAAGGCGAGTCCCCCAGATGAAACTGTGGAACAGTTTTGTTAATAAAATCTTCATGGGTTTTCAAACGTGCATCAACTTGTGGGAAAAAAGTCCTTCGACAAAGATGAGACCATTTACCTTCTTGAACGCATTTAGTACAACCATATTTTCCATTGCTGGCAATAGAAGATAACACAAAAGATTTTGCAGGACAGTCGCAACTAAAACCTTTCAAAGTAAAGTTGTATACATTGCCTTTAAAGTTTACTCCGTTTTTAATGAGATCTGTTACCTCATCAATGAATGGACTCAAGAATTCCTCCGCGTCCTGCGGTTTGTCAGTATCTCCACAATGAATAGCAATTGGGAAAACGTGATGGCGGAGATCCGGAATTGAAATTATTTTACCGAGAATGGGAGTGAAATGTACGCCACTACTCTTGAACAGTGGTAGACCATTAATGCCTGTTACCATGGCTATGTTCGTGACTTTCTCACTAGTTCGTTCCAGGGCATTTTGAACGGCTTTCATTAATCCAAAATAATAAAACTCCCCACCTGCTTTCTCTAATTTCTTAACAATTACATGACGAGGTGTTCTCATTATGGTTCTACCATCCAATGGCAAAGTATGAAGTTCATTAGGATCAGAAGATTTTAAAATTCTGAGCAAGGCAGATAATGCAACCTTTGTGATTTTATAAGTAACTCCCCAGATCCGCAGGTTTACTAGTAGACTATATTTGGGCATATCAGAATTTTCTTCAAACAGATCCTCTCCGTCACTGTTTAAATCAGAGAATTCCTCCCCATCAGAGTCTCCGTTAGCAAAACTTGCATCTGAATCGGACGATTCGTAAACTGAATGCAGTCCTGGGGAATCTCCTCGTGCACCATCACTATCATCACCAAAGCTATCTGACTCAATAAGACTTGGACTGGTGGGAGGAGAGGCTGCGACAGACTTCTCGAGATCAACGGAACCACTATTTATAATATCACAAGTACCACAAGTCTCACCTTCCTGGCTGGCAAGTGATGATAAATTCAGCGATGCTACTTCCTCCTCATCGGAAGAAGATTCTTGCTCAAAACTCTCTGCCTTCAAAATTTCATTAATTCTTCTATACTTGGTGCTTTTACTTACTTGAGCGTAACCTTTCCGAGAATACTTTCTCCGTTCACTCATCTCGACTAACAAAAGGACTTCGCAAGGATGGGAATAGCACTCTGTTAATGTGAATGGGATGGCTGGGAAGACAAAAGGAGCTTGACGAGGAGACAGATTTTGGGGGAGAATTGACTTGAGGCGATGACGAAATTTTAGGCGACTTGAAAAACTCGGTTGTTAGCACTTGGTACTGAATTTAGTGTTCGTTGCTGACGCCTTCACTGAAAAGGTAGACGTAACAAATTAGACTCGACGGATGGCGGATTAGAATGAAAAGTGACTCTAACGCCGAAAGAGACATTGACGAACAAATCAAATGGAAATGGGCAGGAAGTCGCGGTTGACGAAAATAAAACTTGAAAT